CATTTCATTTCAGGACCAACACTGGAGATAAGAGAATGGGCCGTTGTGAGGTGGCCCAAGCCACAACTAGGAGGGGAGCACAAGTACTTCTGAGCCAGCAGATTGCGGAAATAGGCGCACTGCACCGCACAAGTACTTCTGAGCCAGCAGATTGCGGAAATAGGCTTAAGGCACTGCACCCACTACCTTGCTGGTTGACTCATTTCCATTTCTCTGTCCTTGCTCCCGGCTTTTTGATGCACCAACAATGTTGCGCAAGTAAAAAAAAATGCATACAGATTTCCACTACTGTGTTTCCCCCAAAATAAGACAGGGTCTTATAATAATTTTTGCTCCAAAAACGCTTTACGGCTTATTTTCAGGGGATGTTTTATATCCAGTCATGTCATCTGCTGGTTGCTGGACAATGCTACACAATGGTGGAGGGTGGGGTTTCACTTAACTGGGGCTTATTTTGAAGATAGGGCTTATATTATGAGCATCCTGAAAAACCATACTAGGGCTTATTTTCAGGATAGGTCTTATTTTCGGAGAAACAGGCCAAGTGAGCCCTAACACTAGCTGAAAGTGGCAAAGATGGAGACCACAGGATTTAAAGCCACATTGCCCACAAAGATGAAATGGAAGGGGGTATCTATATCACACAATTATAGCACAGCTGGATGCCATGGCTCCACCCTATAGAATCCTAGGATCTGTAGTTTGGTGAGATTAGAGCTAGCTAGCGCACTTCCCTGAACTACAGCAAACAATTTAAAGTAACTCATCAAACTGCAGATCCCAAGATTCTTGTTGAAGTCAAACTGCTATAATCTATGCAGTGTGGACACACTCCTATATTCCTTCCTGGAAGATATCCAAATACACGGTAACAGTTGATCACAGGTTTTTTTTTTCAGTATCAACATTGGCACAGGGCACTGAGTGGAATAACATTTCTAGATCTCTTCACTCCAAAACTCTATGAAGTGTAATATTAGATTCCCAAAAATGATTCCCTGCCATCTTCATGATACGATGCCTATATTACTGTAGCTATATTCGCTGCTCTCCTTCCTAATAAACTTTGAATGATTATTACAGTCCTGAGTCCACTTGGACCAGGCAGGATTTATGCAAGGCAGACAGGGTTCTGATAACGTCAGACTGGTTGCTGATGTGATTGCTCTGAATATGGAGAAACCACATGAATCTTCTGTTCTATCATATAATGTTGGAAAAAAAAAATCTTCAGCAAGAATTTATTTAGCAAACTTGGCTGCAGTGGTTACGTTTGGTCTTCCTCTTGAAATTTTTTAATGGTTTAGGAATTTTTTATACACATTAAAGACCTAAAAGTATCTTCTCCATGCCAGTCCCTTTGAAAAGGATTCTGAGCTGAGCTTTCTTGTCTTCTCTCAGATTTGACTCATGTTCATTTCTGAACCCAAGACTTTTGCTTCCAGAATTAAGGAAAATGATTGATGCTTTTGTAAACATGTCCCTGTAAGGTGTTCTCAGAATCTCTCTGAAGTGCAGGGTGAAAGCATATACAAGTTGTACTTGTATAACTTTCACTATCATCATAAAAGAATTTGTAGCAGCCACAACAAGAAGTTTTTATTTATTTTTATATCCCTTTATCTATCTATCTATCTATCTATCTATCTATCTATCTATCTATCTATCTATCTATCTATCTATCTATCTAATACCCCACTGATCTAGACTGAAGTGTACTCTGGTTGGCTAACAATAATAAACAATAATAAAATATAATAAAATAAAAAACCAATAGTAATATATTTCAAGATGGCAGGGGGGAATACTCAAGTGATGACAGGAGGGAAAACCTACCTAAAGAGCCAGGTCTTAAGTTTGTTCTTAAAAACACCCAGCGAGAGAGCCAGACTGTTCCAAAGGCAAGGGGCCACTGCCGA